AAAAATAGCTAATTATCATGCAAATTAGGTAATTAATATGCACGGATTTTTACCAAAAATTAATCAAATCTGCGCATATGTTCAGAGCATCTATGTACCAAGTTTCATCAAAATCCAATGAGTGGTTCTTTAGATATCAGTGGAACAGTCATAGAACAGCTAAAAATTAGCTAATTATCATGCAAATTAGGTAATTAACGAGCATGGATTTTTACCAAAACCTAATCAAATCTGCGCATTGGCCCAGAGCATCTATGCACCAAGTTTCATCAAAAACCGATGTATGGTTCTTGAGATAGCAGTGGAACAGTCGGACACACATACACACACACATACACACATACACACATACAGACACACTAACTGCAAAGACTCCCATTTTGTGCTTCGCACATGGGAGTCAAAAAGTAAAACATTGACACGGACGCCGGACGACAACAGACAATCACTCATATGATAAGCTCCGCTCGACAAAGTCGACAGCGGAGCTAAAAATGGCCTCTAAGCCGTAAAAATGTATTCAATTGAACAAGTCATGAATGACACTGCCTTCACTTGTTGTCATTTAAAAGTTGCAACATATAATTTGTTCAGTTTTTAGCAGACATAAATTGGCAAACATGATTTCTATGGCATTTTCAAGTTTTTAGCACTTTCCATCCTTGTCTCAGCAAGAACACTAGAAAGCAACAAACAAGTACAACAGGTAAAATGACATGCAAGTATGCAAATCAAATCTGCAAATATGTTGAAGAGTCAGTGTTGTGTCTTGATAAACTTCCTTGTACAACTGTATTCCTAATACAAGGACACTGACAATCACAGAACTGTTCCAGTGGAAAACTTCTGATATTTTAGACAATAACAGGGCAATGATACTGTTTGTCATACAAGTACTAGCACCAGATGAGGAACTGAGAAACTGCAATAATCCTTGGTGTACATTACCTGTGTCAACAACTTTACTTCCCATGTACTTCATGTACAGATCTACATGTAGTTTGTGGCCCTGGATTAGTTTCAATATCTCTAAATAAGGACAAGAGTACTTCTCATATGACAATGATACAAATAAAGTGCAAGAATCCAGAAAAATATTATCAAGTTTTTATTATCATACATTAATATTAACAAATCGTGTGAAATTGAACTTTTATGTACAGAGACACACATATTTATGCTTTGGTTGACAGCACTTCTCAAAGAAAAAAAAAAGAGGACCTGCGAAACTTTATACAATTGTCAGACATGCAGCTAATAGTATGCTTTTGTAATATATGCAATTCCAGTGGCTTTGCTTTCTGAGAAAAAAAATTCTGGCTCTGCACCTGGAATAAAAACAAAAAAAACATTTAGTCAAAAGTAACAAAAGTAAGCAGAGATTGTAGCATATGTGCTCCCATTAGCTGTTAAATGTAATTAAAAAAGATATTTGTGTACAGCCTTTTTCAGTACAAAAACATATTACTTAATATATTTAAACCAGCCAGAAAGATATTGCAATTTACACTGTGCAATTAGGAATAAAATGGACAACAATGGATGCATGTCTAGCAATATACTGTTTGAAAGGCTGCAAGATGTAATGAAATAGCAACCAATCACTACTCGAGTCAGACTGGCTGGGAAACTGCACAATAAATACAAACATGTATGCAAATGATATATGAGCAGCTCCATCACATTTAAAATTATTCTTTCCATAGTTATGACTCTAATGTGAATGTGATTTTCCACTCCTTAGCAATAGTAGTTAGAGTATTGTATTGTACTGTATCGTACAAGTTTATTGTGATTCTATATGTGTTTGTAATATTATTTAGATTTATTTAGCCTTCTGTTTAGTTGGTTAACTGTACTGTATCTTAATGTAGTTTATTTTATTTTTATACGACCATAGAACAACTCACTGTAGTTTGTTTTAATGTTGAATAAATATTATTATTATTAAAATCAGTCACTGTACAATGGGGACGTATTGCACAAAATTGTTGCAAGGACATTACTTTTCTCGATTTGCTTGCCGTCGTGCGTCGATAAAAAATGCACAGAATGGTCGGCAGTATCGATCAAGTTCGTCTAGTGTGACCTTTGTGGCTGGCGAAAAGCAAGATGCCGTATAATCTTTTACATAGCCGTTAAGGAGGAGTGAAAGGCCTTAATTTGGTTCTACAATGGGCGTAATGAAATGTTGCAAAATTACAGTCAATCAAAAAACTGTTCACATGACAACAAAAAATACTCACTATATTTAATATGCATTATTTTTTTAATTTTGTTGGTAATGAAAAGTATAAGTTTAAAATAAAAACAAATCATTGCTTAGTAGCAAATGATCACGGTACGATAGCTTTAATACTTGTTTTCGAAATGTTGCAATTGTTGATTAGTACTCAGTAGTGATTATATTAACGTACAAAAAATAAATTTGTTGAATTGTTATGAAATGCAAGTAAAATTCAACTTAGTTTCATCGTAAGCGAATGATTTCGGTTACATGTAAACGCTCGATGCGATATGTTATCTGCCATGTTATCCATGCACACGATGCGTGTTTATTGACCAGATAGGTCAAGTCACTAATCAGCCAATCAAAATGCTTGATGGTGCCCCATGTGCTCAAATTACCATAAATAATTTAAATATGTTAATGACAGTTCAGCGACCTCATGGTGAAATAACACAGAAGGGATTTACCGATGTTTTAGTGCGATTTTTTTGGCTTCGTTTTTCATGGGATGAGAATGTACCGGGTGGAAATGTTCGGGGAAAAAAATAAACGTACCGGTACGTTTATTTGGGACATGAGAGTATTGTTGTGGGCAAGCTCTCCGAGTAGCGACATATTTCTAATTTCGGCTATAGCGTGATCAGTGGATTACGTAAATAAACCAACACTTTCAATGAGTACATGCCGACCCAAATACATTTTTTATAGCTGTTTCTGAACAGCGAGGACGCATCTCATAGAACAATAGCTGTGGAAATCGTAAACAAATGTAAATGTTGCGGAAATCAAGCATGGCGATAATGATTTTGAACGAGGCAGAGTCTGGCAAGCGTCTCAGAGCAGCATTGCGCCACAGTCATAGAGGGACTGTGATTGCACCGACACCACCACGACGTTTGAATCCCGGAGAGAGCACTGCAAACCTCTCAAATCACGAAGTAAACTTTCAATTTACACAATACATAATCACAGTTCCTACAACAATAATAGAAAAGCAGTTTTTCTGGTGAAGCTCTCGCCAGGTTAGCAAGAGTTTCCCGCGAGCACCAAACCCGAGACACAAACGATAATACAAAGTGTATAAATACCATAATAAGCACAGTTTCTTACCTTTGAAATTGACGAGACACAATTTTGTCCATATAAGCGCAAATAAAGATACAATTCCGGGATACAATATCCTCACACAAAAATGACTGCGATTTCCACCGAGACGAGAACTGCGTATGCGTCATCAAAACTTGGATAATTTTGAGAAAAGTCGGATTTTCCAGCAATTTTGAAGGAAAAATTTTAAAAATCGAAGAAAAACACAGTGAAACTTTGAAAAATAGACAAAATAACTTGATGTGCCTAATAACACCACCAATTCCTGTCTCTGTATCAACTCTGAACTTAATTGGATCACACATGTGTGAGAAAAAGCTGGTATTGTGAAAATGTGCACACACGGATGCACAGACACAACCAAAATTAATACCCCCACCCGTATCACAGATCCGGCGGGGGCTAATAACTATGTTGCAACGTGACTACTATAATTTTTCATATAATTATATATGTTTTATATAATGGAAATGACATTGGACATAAAAAAATATGTAGTTTTATTTTTTAGTAAAAATGTAAAACATTCGCCCAAATTCAAATACTGGTCTTTTCGACCAGCTTTGTTGCACACACAATCATGTAAAACAAAACACTATTGTTCTCTCATTTGCATGCAAACAAAGCTATCGAAGTTAATGAGCTGCTTGCGTTAACGCAGGTTAGCTTTGCGTTGGCACGGTCGGGATCCTAACGCAATCTTAACATGGCGTTAATGTAAGTCAAATAAGATAAAAAAAATTGCCTTGAGGTTGCTTGAGGCATCCAAATTTCAAAACTTTTTCCGGGGGAGGCCCCCTCGGACCCTCCCTCAGGACTACGCGCCTTCGCGGCTTTGCCCGCCAGGCTAAATTTTCAACACGCGGAGAACACTGACATGGAGAGCAACAAATGATGATATGGAGAGCAACAAAAGATGACATGGAGAGCAACAAAGGATGACATGGAGAGAAACAAATGATGACATGGAGAGCAACAAATGATGACATGGAGAAAAACAAACGACATGGAAAGCAACAAATGATGACATGGAAAGCAACAAATGATGACATGGAGAGCAACAAATGATGACATGGAGAGAAACAAATTACATGGAAAGAAACAAATGATGACATGGAAAGCAACAAATGATGACATGGAAAGCAACAAATGATGACATAGAAAGCAGCAAATGATGACATGGAGAGCAACAAATGATGACATGGAGAGAAACAAATGATGACATGGAGAGTAACAAATGACATGGCAGGCAATAAATGATGACATGAAAAGCAACAAATGATGACATGGATAGCAACAAATGATGACATGGAGAGCAACAAATGATAATATGGAGAGCAACAAAAGATGACATGGAGAGTAACAAATGACATGGCAGGCAATAAATGATGACATGGAGAGCAACAAATGATCACATGGTAGGCAATAAATGATGACATGGACAGCAACAAATGATGACATGGAAAGCAACAAATGATGATGGAAAGCAACAAAAGATGACAGAAGAGCAACAAATAAGTGCAAATACTGTATGCTGAAAATACTTACCTTGGGTTTCTTTTAAACAACTGTGCTTGCAAGTTTCTAAGTTCATAACTATATTTAGGTGAAACTGGTGGAAAGGAACCTCGAATAATCTTTAATACTAAATTCTTCATATTGCCAGCTTCAAAGGCATGTTTTAGTGTACATAACTCATACAGTACACAGCCTAAGGCCCAGATATCACTGTGAGAGAAAACAACAGTTAGAATGCTTTTATTAATGTGTACATGTACATATGTGTACCTATAAATCAACTAAGACAATGTACCCCGGTACATGTACTGTATCCATTATCTGAATCAATCAAATCTACTTCAAAATGGTAACGTTGGTGGCTCTACCTATTTGACACTCTCTGAATTACAATGTAATTTAATATATTGTTTCAATCCCAAGTTTTTTAAAAAATGATGCAGTGTTCCATTTTTTGTTACTCACAGAACAACAATGAAGTGGGCAATACATCAACCATGCCAAATGGCTCAATAATTTTTGAACAGTGTATATTTTGCAAATATTTTAGCGTTTCAATTGCAAACCTGCACAAAGAATAATTTATACATGATCTGGGCATGTGTGATAGAGTTGTGTGCCACCAAGTAACGTCTTTCTTCATTTTTTTTCATTTAAAGTTTTCTTTTGCTTTTTTTCTTCAAATATGCCATCAAGCAGCCCCTCGGCTGAGATAGCTCTGCTGTTAGCAATGCACAAAAATTGAAGATATCATTACAAAATAAACAAATCTGGGAGAGGTTCACCTGCAGTACCTATACCCTCGGTATGTTGAATATTAAAGCAATCGGACTTGCGTTTTTTAACAAGTAAAAAATATCAGTTTTTACCAAAAATGACAAAAATATTCATCAAAATTAGAGAATTAAAGATATTATGAAATGAACAAATCTGAGTAAGGTCCACCTAAGGTACATAAATGTGTAATATCAAAATAATCAGACTTCCTGTTTTCAAAAAGAAATTGAAAAAGTAACAAGCAGCCTCTCGGCTGAGATAGCTCCGCTGTTAGCAATGCACATTTCAATTAAAGAACAGAAGATATCATTAGAAAATGAACAATATGCATAGTATCAATGCAATGGGACTTGCTGTTTTGAACAAGAATTCAAAAATATTATTTTTCACCATAAATGATTGTGGTTTTTAACAAGAAGAAAATATCACTTTTTACCAAAAATGACAAAAATATTCATAAAAATTAGAGAATTGAAGATATCATCGTGAAATGAACAAATTTGAGAGTGGTCTACATGTAGTACCTATATATGTACCGGATTCTGCCGTAAATTCGCCCAGGGCCGTTAAACGACAGTTCGGGTTTAAAAAAAAATAAATTGGGACCAAGAACCCGCCCAGGGCGATTTTTCTGCAGTTTCTTAAGGTGCTATTTTAATCTTTTCTGATGCCTAAAAGTTTCGCCGTAGTCACATCAAGAGTATTGATGTGTATTCCGACTAGCGTCAATGGGTCGTTTCGACAATGAGTTGTTATCGCTGTAAATAATGTTAAATTATTCTTCAAATGCTCAGTTCATCTTTTGAAAACAACTATTTTTTTTATTTGAAAACAAATCATGCCGCTTTCCCATCAAAAGCCAAGCCAAAAGATCGTACAACAACATCGGCAAATTTCTTCCATGCTGGGTTCATTAATATTACCGTACTTATCCGGGTAAGAGCCCATGCCTGGACAAACGCCCACCCCCCACTTTTGACACAATAAAGAAGTTGAGGGCATATCCGGGCACGCGCCCAGGGGGTCTTTTTCTACACAAAACAAAACATGGTTGAACTCTGGTGACCTTGCCCTTTGTTATATAATATAATTCCCTTTATCATAGTTTGTTTCAATATAAATATGCATTGTCATAATTAATTTTGAATACAAACAAGTTTTGGGGTTGAACCAACAGTGGGGAATCAGTCTACCGAATGTCCTTAAAAGATGTAAATATCTTACAAAAACATTGGTGCCTTATTTGTTTAATTATTTTAAGGGACATAATTTCCAGCTTTCTTCAAAGTAATTCAGATATTTAAGTACAAAAACAAATGTCTCATTGCAAAAAAAAGTGCTGCATTTAGATGTGAATAGATTCATAAAATATGCAAGATAACAGAAAATTTTAGCTGGCTTTAGTCCAAGTATTTTGTACAGGTGTCTGTCAAAAATTAATGATTCACTGAGACAAATATGAACTGCCTCATTGTGTGACTACTGTATTATATGAAAAGTAAAAAAAAAAACACCCTTTATGAATAGCTATCATGTTGCAAGCTCTGCTTTGTATGCAAATCAACTTAAATAGTTAGTTGGTGTCCAGTGGAGGGAGAAGTCAACAGTACTGTTG